AGTAGAATATAAAATTTCTCTAATAAATGAACTCAAATACTTTGATCTTGATTCAGAAAAACCAGATGTGAAGCTCTTTTTTAGAACAATGAACAGAACACCACCTAAATGACCAGAATAAAAGACCCCATCTCTTGTTGATTAACTTAATTTAAAACCAACCCAAGAGTTGCAATGGACATCTAGAAGGTAGCTTCAGCATTGGGAAAAGCTCACTTCAGCGGGTATTCTATTCCTATTCAAAATGATTGACTTTGGAGTATTGGATTGTCCACTGCAAAATCTTTGCACTTCCCATTTTCATGAGGAATTCAACTCCAATTTCCTCTATCATATACAGGAACATAAAAACCCTAATTTACAGTTACTAACACTGCCAGATGCTTTTTATATAATACTTGTACCTTGCAATTCTCCAAAACAAGCTTGGATTTATTTGTCATTATCTCCTCAAGCTTAGCTTTTGAACCATCCAACTTGGTCATTATGTCATTGTATTTCTCATTTGTTTCTTGACCCTGCCATTCTGAAGGTAATCAAAAAAATAATTATGAAAACCAAATAACTTTGCTCATTGCTGAAAATGTTTATACCATCCTGTGTGTTTTGGGATCCATTGCAATGCTAGTTTTGACTGCAAATAAAATGTAAATATATGAGGAGAGAATAAATGTTTCAAATGCAAATTTAAGCTACTAATGCTTACACATCAGTTCAGCATGCAGATTATCACTTTAGGGGTATGGGTGCAATTCGGGCCAGGTTAGGTTGAGTTGAGAACCAACCTTAACCTGACCCAAGTTGTTGAACCCCCAACCCAAATCCAACAAAATGACTTTGGGTTGGTTTTGGTTTGGGTTGGCCCAATAATTTCAGTTATTGTTGCTAAAACCCTTCTATTTCCTAAGGATTAGCAACTCAGTTTGGCATTACCACATGTACAAGAACATAATTAGAAGTATTATACTTATGATACTTTACCTTTGCTCAAAAAAAGAAAAAAAAAAAAAAAACACATGTACAAGAACATAATTATGGTGCATTAGAAGTATTATACTTATGTGATATCAGAATTTTTTTTTTAACTTAAAATTGATGATATATGCATATATTCATGAAACGCATAGTTGTATACATTATAATGTATATTTACATTATATGCAAACATATTTATATGATATTTATACATTCAAATACAAAGACAATTTGAGTTCGGGTAACACAACTAGAAGTGAAGTTGTGTTCATATTTTTCAACCCTAACCTTAATGAGTTTTACCAATGCCAATTATAAGTCTATAATGAAATGAATGTAATGGAGTGGTGTATGGACTTGTTTCCTGAAATTGGTATAATAGAATGAATGGTTAAGACAATCTGTGCCAGATCTTTATTTGATAAAACATATATATCAAAGAATCTTAGAGATCTGGTATTGCAGATGACTGGTCCTACTCATTGTACTACACATAATTTATCAATAATAAGCCTTCCCTAGGGCCACACAATGTATGAGTTCCTCAATCTAAGATATGTTAATCTGGTCAGAAGATATCAATAGTCATAACTCAACATACACAACATACTTGGTGCTTAATCTTTGACAACAGTTCAGCCTCTACATGCTTCCTAGTTAGGAGTGAAATATAATTTTCCTATGCAAATTGTATAGCTTCTGGTACTGTTTCTTATTTCCAAATAAAAGATCTTTCATTAAAGAAATCGTAGCAGGAAAAAGCATCTAGGAAACAGGATTACTAGCAGACACAAACTAAAGATTGTAAAGACATTTTATTAATCCACTCCTGTAACTAGGTGTGAGGAGACAAAAAATAATTGTCTTGATATTTAAACCCTGTAACTGTTGTTATGTGAGCAATTTCACTTTCCTTCCTTGCAACATGTTTGAAAAACACATCTGAATCTTTCAGAATTCAGAATCTAATCTTTAATTTTAGGTGACATGTATATTTAAGCATTTGGACCAGAAAAAAAGACTTAATCATGTTGCATAAAATACATCAAAAGAGAACGGGAAACACTGAAACATGTTTTAATAGGTCATACCTCTTATATCTCCTTCTTCATGGGCACCGGTTTTTGTCTCAACCTGTAAAAGTTGTAACAATTAGGATCACTGCAAATTTCCATAAAGCTACAAAAATGGAAGTATGAGCAGCGTATTGTGAAGGTACAATCCCCTAAGCTTAAAATCAGATACATGTAAGATAATGGGTTTAAAGAGACTAACATGATCAAATTGTTAGGCAATAAACATCTACTGCAAATAAAAGAGACTCAGATCACATGTCAGACTAGGTCTATAATTGACTGTTTCACCATCTGTAAAAGATTTCTCTGGAGCCCTTCATTTTGTCCTTATTGCTTTTTAAATTGAATAAATTGGGCTTAAATTTGTGTAGAAAGAGTCAAGCCAGGTTATTTACAGAATCAGACTAACGAAATGCAGATACTACTGAGCCTTTGTTAATTATGATGGCCTATCACTAGCAACCAAAATCCCAGGCAATAGAAAGATAAAAGAAGGTATCAATTACAGATATACCAGTCCTAGCTTTCCAGCATTAGTGTTGAGTTTGTGAGAATTGATCCAATCCTGCTCAAAATAGAAAAGATGCACTTTTAGTCAAGTCATTGGAAGGAGGAAAATGATCGGCAGAGCCACTATGAAATTACATATTTTTTAATTAACCTGCTGTTCTTGTAACTTTGCATTCATGTCCTCCATGATCTTGGCATAATAAGTTCTGCACCAATACAGCAGAGCAAATTTATTTGGCTCTCTAAAACATAATCTAAATTGACGTCCATCTTTAAGGTTCACAGGTTGATATTACTTCTTCTTTTGCAGTTTGGCAGAGGTATTGACCCTTTCTTGTATAATAAGTTCCAGGGTCTGTAACAGAAAAGGACATTGTCAAAAAAAAAAGGAAGAAGATAAACAGAAGAAGAAAAGAAAAGAAAAGAAAAGAAATGAAATGAAATGAAATGAAATATTGTAGAGTATTGAAGTGTTTCACTTAATAAAATTTAAGTGATATTTTTTTATTCCCCACTTATATATTTTACTTTATTCCCGACTTGCATTCCTTCGGAAATCGGAAGCAAGAAAATCCTCCAATTATTTGCATACCGTGCACAACAAATTCCTCCTGTACAATCCCAAACATTCAAAGCATCTCTTATATCTACTTACATAATTAGGTTAGAGTATGAAGATCGATTTGGAACCAGTTACCATGCAAACTACAAATTTCACACACTAATCATGCTTCTTTAAAGTAGAACTTGAAAAAATTACAACATTCTTATTTTCTATGCAACCCTTTGAGCAAGGATACCAGCCTTGTGATCAGAAACAGATACAGAAAAAATTAAAGAGAAAAAAATACAATGTGGATTCATTTCAAATGCAGAAGCTCTAACCTCCCTACCGTCTTAATTCAAATGGGTGATTTGGAAATTAATAGCAAACCTGAGAAAGAGTGGAGGAATCATTGTGTAGGGAGGCAATCTTCTTCTGCTTATCAAAAATTTTTGAGCATGTTTGGTCCTTTGCCTTCATCATTCGTTCAGTCTCCTCTTTGAGACGTTTTGTGTCAGATTTTACTGCAAAAATATCCACGGAACAGTAGAAGCACAGTTTTGGCAAGTAGTTTAAAGTCTTGGCGGCTAAAGAAAATGGCGCGAAGTAACAATACGGAACATGATTTAATAATATCATTATACAAAAATAAATGATCCACTAGAGCGTTGGATTCGAACATGTTCTCACGAGATTTCAACACACAAGCTAAGGTTTTTGTAGCACAAATGCCGCACGAAAAATATTCTAATCTAATGGCTACTGAAGAGAGCTAAATCATTCGTTCAGTCTCCTCTTTGAGACGTTTTGTGTCAGATTTTACTGCAAAAATATCCACGAACAGTAGAAGCACAGTTTTGGCAAGTAGTTTAAAGTCTTGGCGGCTAAAGAAAATGGCGCGAAGTAACAATACGGAATATGATTTAATAATATCATTATACAAAAATAAATGATCCACTAGAGCGTTGGATTGAAACATGTTCTCACGAGATTTCAACACACAGGCTGAGGTTTTTGTAGCACAAATGCCGCACGAAAAATATTCTAATCTAATGGCTACTGAAGAGAGCTAAATCAATCCCAGGTCGTGAAGTCCATCCAGTCTATAAGAACAATCCCTACAATAAAAACTATTCCAATCAAATGAATGGGAGACTAAGCAGAACAGAAATCTCCAATCGAAGAGCAACAAAGTAGGAGCCTCGACAGCCCCGAGCGGAGTCGTCGAACACTCATGCTAGCGTACACCGCGCACATTATATTAATTCCTTCCTAGGAAATTCATTGTCGTTTAGAATTTCCGGCGAAGTCACCGGAAAATGCAGAGACCGCAAACAGAGGGGTCTTCAGAGGCAAGAACAAATTTAAAGGAAGAAAAAAATGTAGAAGGAAATTAAAAAGAAGCCGATACCTAGATCGAGGTCTTTCTCCATGGCGCGGATCGTTGTTAGATGCATTTGCTCTTCAACAGAGATCTTCGTTACTTGATCCTCCACCTCTGCGAATAGATAGATGCCGAATTTAGAAATAGAAACGGCGAAACTAATTG